ACTTTCTCCTGTAACATCAGTTATTTTATATTACTATTATTATTCCATGATTTTATTAAAAAACTTTTAAATATTGTTATATCACTTCTTGTATCTATTAAAGCACATGTTATATTTGTTTCTGCAATAGTAATTTGTATATGTATAGCTAATGGAAAACTTATCTGATTATTCATCTAATTCTTTTTACATAATGTAGTTTGTCCACTATGAACAATATATAATCATTCTCTTTTTATACCATAATCTTCTAATCCATTTAGAAAACTCATTCCTAAAAGTATATGAAAGTTTATATCCATACTTCTATCTATGTAACATGGTACTAAAAGATCTATTCCTCCTATTTTTATTAGTACCTTAACTTCTAAATCTGTTATATGTACTTATCCATCAAAATTTACATACTTATATGGTTCAGTTTTATGAGTTATTAGTCCTTTGTTTCTAATCGAATCTATATGACATTCACTAGCTCCTGTATCTATTAATATATTTAGTCCATTTATATTTTCTTTTCCATTATAATATTCTCCTTCTATTTTCATATTTCCAGCATTCCTATATAATTTTACTTCTTTTATTTTGTTGATTTCTTCTAACTAGTTTTTATTAGGTATTTTAAAAATTTTTGATCTTTTAATTAACTTTCCATCCTTAAATATTATGTTATTAGAACATTCTTCTTCATTTAATTTTGTTATTTCAGGTTTATTTTTTGCTATACTAAATTCATATTTTTCTGGAATTAAATTTATTTGTTTATTTGGTTCTATTATTTTACTAATATCTTTACATTATTTATGAACCTCAATATATGGTTTATTGGAATAAATATTCCCATAATTAGAATTGGTAAATGTATATAAAGCTCTATATTTTATAGTCATAATTTGATCACCTGGTTGCATAATATCATCTCTATGAAGTTTGAAATGTAGTCTTAAAATTTCATTAAAATTTCTATCTTTTAATGATACACAATATTTCGGATAACATGTAAACATAATCTTTTGATATGCTAAATTTCCTTCTATTGTTCCTAAATAACTATCTTTTAAATTTATTATTCTTCCATCATGTAAAGTTATAGTTAAGGGTGAATCTATCCCTTCTCTAAATAATGATTTGAATATTATTTGTATTCCTACTAAATAAACATATTGAATTTTTTTCACTTTGTTTTTTACTAATCTTTGTTAATAGTTCATCAACTATATTTTTTGTTAAAAGATTTAATTTATGTTGTCCATAAGTTGTTCTTACATCTATAGTTTTTTTTTATTTTGTGATATTCATTTATTGCTATTCTTTCTCTTTTCCAAACTCTATCAAAGACTTCCCATTTTCCTATTTTTAAGTCTAACGATAATTTTTACAATTTTCTAAACTTGTTATTATCAAAAGTAACTTTTAATCCATATCCATCTATTCCTTCATATTCTTGTAATTTCTACTTCTTCAATCTCTTTATTCAGATCCTGATTCATCATCTTCTGTTTTACTTATATATACTTCTGATTATATATACTTCTTGATCATAGTATTTTTCAAAATTTGATATTTCACTTAATTCATCTTTTATTTCTAGGTATTCTTTTTGTAATATTCTAACTTTCTTTTTATCACAATCAGGGCTTATATGACATATTTCTTCACAATTTCAACATTTACACTGACTTTTATTTTTCTTTTTATCTTTCTGTTGGTTATATGGGTTATTTTTTCTTTTATAATATCTTCTTTTAGGTTTTATATATTTTTTATTAAAATTTCTAAATTTTTTAAACTTTTTATTTTTATAGTTTCTTTTATTAACTTTTCTTTCAGGATTACATCGCCATTGCACAGAGGTTTTCATATTTTCACAATATATTTTGGTTAATTTTCCTGATTTTTTCATTAATTGTCTTTGTTGACATATATATGCAAGTCTTTCAAATAAAAATTTTATTATTTAACCTAAAGTTCTAGGTATTTCAGTATTATCTCTAACATATTTTTCAAATTCTATTTTAAAATATATTCCCCATGAACCTGGTAACTTATTATAATACATGTCTTGGTATACTTCTTGATTTTCATTACTATAAAATTGAACATAATAGTAATTTTTAAATTCACAAGTATATTCTTTAATTTTACACATATCACATATTGTTAAGTTTGTTAATTTTATTCTAGCATTATCTTTTTCTCTTATTGATTCTTCTTCAGTATTTCTTATCCAATTTTCTCCTAAAAACTCATATGAAATATATTCTACTAATTTTTCTATACCTTGTCTATCTGATTTGATTATTTTTGTTTGTACATTTCTTTTTATTAATGTTTTTGTATCATTACTTATTCCTTCCCACCAATTTCTAACATCTCCTTCAAATGATACTATTAAAAAATCTATTCTTCTTTCAGTATTTTTCCATGTGTCATCTTTGTTATATAAAATGAATAATATCATTGAATCTGTCCAAGTTAATAAAACTTTTTTAGTATCTATTTTGCATTTTAAATCTAGTTTTGTTCCTCCATGATTAATTGGTTTATCATAATTATCATTTAATTCAAACCTATCTTTATATTTATTTCCTTTGGGTGGTTGTCTATCTCTTACTTTATCATAGAATTATCTATATGATTTATTATATATAGATGCATAGCTTTCATCTGTGTCATGTATTTTTTGTTTAGAGGTTCCTGCTGGATTAGGTCCTCCTCCAGTATTTATTAAAACTTGATATTCACTTATATCAGTTAAACTTAATTGATCAAAATTTTCTATTAGCAAATCTAATTTTTCAATCAACTTTTTTTCTTCTACTTTTAATTTTCCTAATAAATTTTCCCTAGATTCTTCTTCCTCTTCTAGTATTTTTGGTAATATATTCTTTCTAAATTCATCATCCATACTCCCTGTTTCTATTACTATATTTTCTTTTTCTATATGTTTCTTTCATATTCGAATTATCTCTTTTTCTATAAGTTTTTTTTTATCTATTTTCTTATCTTTATTCTTATTATTTTCTTTTAATTCTCTAATTTCTATTTTTAATATATTTATATCGTTTCTTATTTCTTTTACTTCATTTCTCAAATTTTGTACATCATTTATTAACATTTTTATTAATGATTTTAATTCTTCCATATATTCACTTATTGACATCTTAATTTTTCTTATTTCTAACTCATAAGTTAATTTACATCTTTTATCTTCTTTTTTATCTATTATTTTTTTCTAAATCTTTTCTCAACTGTTTCTGGATCTACTAATTCTTCTTTTACTATAGTAAAATATTTGCTCTCAAGTCTTAATCTTTCACATTTTAATTTTGTTGATTGCCTATTTTTTGATATTCTCATTCCTTCTAGTATTAACATTATATTTCTTATTTCTTCTTGTATTTTATTCATTTTCAAAAGTAATTTATTCAATTTTTGATGTGTATTATCAATTGTACTCATATTTTTCTTTATAATATAAATTATTTTCTTCATCTTCATATATATTAATAATTTTTTCATATGTATAGATATCTTTTATTTTTTCTATTATTAATTTTTCTAATATTTGTTCCTTTATTTCTTTAGGAAGTTCTTTAATTATTGTCAAAGTCATTATTTTTAATTTATTATGAATAGGTTTTAAAAATATATAACTACATTTTTCTTCTTCTAAACACCAATAATTATCTATTTTTCTTATTTTAATTTCCACGTTCTCTATGGCTCTGATACCAATAAAGGGGGCTACTTAGAGGGAACAAAAATCAAATAAAAATATTAATCAAAATTTTTTTTTTAAAAATTATCAAGTTTCATCCAATATTTAATTTTAAGGACTAAAATAGTAAAGTTCTATATTATGATGCCTTGTTATGTAATATTCAAATGGAGGGCATTTTTGGTATGTAAATTGCCTAATTTATATCTAAAAAATATATATTAATTAAAAATAATGGAAAAATAATAAATGGTTCTCTTTAAGAAAAGACTCCTTGCCTCTTGGAGATGGTCTTAATTGTAAAATGGATGTATGAATTTTAAATGTCTCAACATTTAAGAAAAGCATGACTTCCCATGTCGTCGATATGCTTTCATAACACAACTTTATCAACATATCGGGATGCCAAGCAACATTTTCTGTCTGTCTAAACCCTGTGAAAATGCACTACTTAGAAGATGATATATTCGACCAACCAATGTTTAGGTATTATTTCAAGGCATCTAACAAATATGTAAACATGATGCATCAAACCATGAGTAAATATGATGCTGAATTCAAATCGATATGAACTCCACATTGGAACTAAGAACTGGGAATGAGCAGAAGAAAGAGAATTGCCCGAATGCGAAATTAACCTAAAAATTATAATATATATTCTTAATCTCAAGCTTTAAGTTTTAGCTCAACACCTCTAAAGGAACAATTCTAACAACCAATAATGTCAGAATAATGGATATAAAGCTATCAATCAATTGTAAGTTATAACTACTAAAGCTCAAACTAAGTCAAGGCTAAGCTTCAAAATAAATAATTATTACTCTTCAACATAAAAAGTTAATTAAAGAGTAACCATTATTTATTTTCAAACATGGTTAATATAATCCTTTTTACTTACTTATAAGTAAAAAAGTTAACTTATTTTTAAAGTAACTTATACTATAAAAATAAGAAACTTAATTCTAAATTTAATCAATAAAAATATTTTAGAATTTATTCACTTTTAACAATAAAATATAAAAATAAAATAAAATGTGACTTAATTAGCAAGCAGTAATTAATATAAATAACGAATAGATGCAACGGTACAACTAATTTAGAAAAAACTGATTCGACTAAGGTGAACTTTTATTTTATCATTTTCTTGTTAACTGTTTTAAGTGTAATAAAATATTTTATTCATCGGAGGAATTAAATATATTTAGTAATTAAAATATTTTATTAAAAAATCCGAAGGGTTTCCATTACAATGTGATTTTGAAAAGTAAAATTTGCAACTTTCTCAGAAAAATGAGTTCCAAATGTACGTTAATTTTGAGTTCAGTATTACATTTCTCTGCCTTTTCACAAGGGAGTGGTCTAAGTTTAAATTACTACACTAAAACATGCCCTGATGTTGAATATGTTATTGCACAAGTTGTCTGGGAAGCAACCATGAAAGACAAAACTGTCCCAGCAGCACTGCTCAGAATGCATTTCCATGACTGTTTTATAAGGGTAATTAAATGTTTTCTATGGATATATGGGTTTTTTCATTTTCTTTTTCTGGGCTAACTTTTCTCTCTTTTATTATACTTAAAGGGATGTGATGGTTCTGTGTTGCTGAACTCAAAACGGGGAAATAAAGCAGAAAAGGATGGACCTCCAAATGTTTCACTGCATGCATTTTATGTAATTGACAGTGCAAAGAAAGCAGTTGAAGCTATCTGCCCTGGCATTGTCTCTTGTGCCGATATATTGGCCTTAGCAGCTAGAGATTCTGTTGTGCTGGTAATTATATACCTAAGCAAATTATGATTTCCTTTTTCCAGGACCATTTCACATTTATACTCAAAATGGTTCAGACTCGACCGTAGAGGCCTAGGTGCATGAGGGCCACTGTTTAAAAAAAAAAAAAATCTAATATGCAAAGTCATGGATAAGACCACACAAGTTAAGCTCAGATAGTTTTAGGTCCAAAACAAATGCAGGCCACACCTCAAAATGGGTACAGCCTGGTTTACTCCTCTAAACCAAACACATTTAGTTATATAGCCATTGTTTGAATATGATGAAACTAATAAATAACAGTGCGTATCTAGTGGTTTAATCTTTAATGATGTAACGGACTGAAGGGCCAACATGGGAGGTTCCTAAAGGAAGAAAGGATGAAAAAATATCACAGGCCAGGGAAACTAGACAATTGCCAGCTCCAACCTTCAACATTTCTCAACTTCAACAGAGCTTTTCTCAAAGAGGTCTCTCCATGGAAGACCTTGTGGCTCTTTCAGGTAAAACCTAATAACCAACTCAACTCTTTAATGCACAAAAATCACTTTGCTCCATAAGAAAAAAAATTCCCTGTTGCAGGTGGACACACTCTAGGTTTCTCTCACTGTTCATCCTTCCAGAATAGGATCCACAACTTCAACTCGACCCACGACATCGACCCGACCCTTCATCCATCCTTTGCAGCAAGCTTAAAAAGCATTTGCCCCATCAATAATAAGGCAAAGAATGCGGGCACCAAAATGGATCCTTCATCGACAACTTTTGATAACACCTACTACAAGCTAATACTCCAGAAGAAGAGTCTGTTCTCTTCGGATCAGGCTCTTCTCACAATTCGAAAGACAAAAGATTTAGTTTCAAAGTACGCAAGCTCAAAAAAAGCTTTTAACACAGCATTCGTTAATTCTATGATTAAGATGAGCAGCATCACAGGAGGTCAAGAGGTTAGAAAGGATTGCAGGGTGGTAAACTGAAGTCTCTAAGCTTATTTCATATAGAATTTTGGCATCCACCTATGGATAATCCAGCAAAATTATCATTTGTATGATTGCTTTAATGATAAAATTGCCTTCTATGGGCGTATCACAGTATGCACAAGCAATAGAATGATATTATTGATTGCAAGTTTCAAGATCAATATAGTCATATTTGATGGAACGAAGGCTACAGATATTCCTGAAATGCTATTACTATGAACAAATTTATGTTCAATGAAGGAAATCTCATCACATGCTCTGGCTACGTTCAAATTTATGCAATGACATCAAGCCTCCTAAAATTCCCTCTGCAACCTTGAATAAACAAGCACTAAGAATTTCATGCAATGAATTATAACCACTCCCAATTTCACAGTTTTTATCACCAATGCATCCGGTTCCCATCACCAAAGGGTACAATATCAGAAAAATTTGACATACATAAATTAGAAGAATTGAAATTAAAATGCCCAAAATATGGCTGGGAAAAACTCGTTGAACAATAAGATGCCTTAAGGAGAAAACTTACAGGACAAAAATCTGTTACAATTGGAAAAATGCACAAAGATGTTGCAAGAATATTTCTAACTGAACCTACATCAAGGGATGCATAGGATTATATTCAATTTTTAGACAGTTAAAAGCCTAGACAGCAGGTTCAAACTTGTCTCGATGTTGATTTGCAAGCAACGTATCAAGTATTAATGTAATTGTTAAACTAGAGGAAACAGAAGATATTGGAAAATCTTGTGGCTTCTTTTTTTATCTCTTTAAGGTAAGGAACTAAGTTCTTTTCGTTTATCCTCTTGATGAGGCTTCTGATCCAAATCCTTCCATGTTACAACAGAATGGATGCCAATGATTACCACAAAGTGCCAGTTAATGCCCAATTCTTTAGCATTCCACTTCTCTTTGAACTTGTTTTCTGCAAAGTGTGGTGTAGAAGCCAATGACGTTGGACTTCGATGATATGCATACCATGAAATAAAAAAAGACGAAGTAGGACTTTTACACACCAATTTAGATTTCTCTGTCTTCACACAGATTCTGTTCGTTGGAGGTCTTAATTTGTATATCTGGACCATCCTGTGTGTGGTGAATACCTACAAAATGAAAATGGAAAAAGCAAACTAGAGCCACCATGAATACCTCAAACGAATTAAATTCAACTTATATTCAAGTATTAAACATAGTTTCAACAGCAATTTGTAGTAAATCTCCTGGTGCAGTCTTGTCTCTATGTCAAACTCAACACAATAATATAAACAATTAGCATTGGGTTTCAATATAGAACAGGTAATGTAAGAAAAACAAAAATGTCAGTCATCAGTGACTGAGTGAATAATACAAGTCAGAAAAAAGAGACGTGATGGAATAATCCTTCCTTATTTCATATCATCATTGAAGTTCGGCCCAAAAAATTTTGCAAATTTATAATTTGAGTATTGATTTGACATAATAAATTTCACAAATACCTGCTTGGAATGCTTGTCCCTTTCAATTCTAAATCTCTGAGTTCAATTGATAGCTTTATACTGAGGTCAAAGCAATAAAGGAAAAACAGAAAATTTTGCAAGTAATGAACCATCAACCCTTGGAATGCTAAACATAGAGAGGATGAGCACCAAAAGTAAGATACGATAGATCTCCAAGGGCACATTAGATATCATTATATACACAATGGATCTGCTGTAAGTTTAAAAAATCAGCATAACTTGCTGACAAGCCTGATCCATTAGTGGTAAGTTATCTTTCTCCCACAGTAAGCTGGTTAGGAAATAAATATTTTATGCTCAGTCTTGCCCCTTCAAATAAGTATGAAACATAATGGTTTTGAAAATTAACAATATATAAAGTGGGCAAGCTTGAAATATCTCTTTCCAATCAGTATGCCTCAACCTATTGTCGTCTTTAACATCTGTCTTCAAATAAGCATCGCGTTCAAAAACAAATTGCAAATGTAATATGAAAGTTAGTACGTGAGGCAATTCAGCACGGTAGGAGTGGCCTCAGAATCAATCCAGTGCTCACCTGTCTCTTTTAGACAGCATGACAACAGAAATTAAATAAGTCAACAACAGCGTTCAATCAGGAAAGCATTTTTCCAAGTTAACAAAGAAGCACTTTTAATTCAGTATATTATATACCAAGTCAACAGCCAAAGCATTTGTTAAGTGTAAATTGTAACACCCAGATACAAAAATTGACCGATATTAGGATGAGAAAATATATTATGTAACAGGAGAAGCTGTGAAATTTAGAACAATCTAGCTTCAGTAATTACTCACCTAGAATATTTCCAAAGAGGCCTACTATCTGTCGAATCATTTTTAGGAAAACTCCAGAGTTGTGTAATATTCTAAAATCTTATTCATTGAAAGCTGTGCAATGTATCTGCTGAGCTCAAAGTTTACACTGCTAAGGTCACTGAGCCTGCATAAAGTTCCAGCTCAACCAATCATTTCTCTCTTCAACATATTCCATGGATGCTCGTGCAAGTTTCTGCCATGTTTACCTGCCACTATTGGCTTTCATGAGGCTGATAGTTGCTAGAATGATCACCAAAGGTCCTTGCATGAGCACTGGCCTCCAACGAAATGATGAAATCTGTTAGCATCTCTTAAAATGATATGCCGACTAAGAATTTTGGATACAAACTTCATAAACAGATGGCAATCTCCACAAATGCGGATATTCTTTATAATCCTAATAGGCGATGCTGAAGAAGGTTTTCTTATCAATCCAAAAGCAAGGGCAAGTTTCTCACTGTGATAGCATATAGATTCGAGTTTCTCATCTTCCCCCACATTGTGTAAAACAAAACTTTTATTTGGTGCAAATCCAGCTTCTTGTAGCTTTTTTATCAGCGAATCTAGTTCTAGATGTATAAGTTCTGATTCAGGATGACTTCGATCTCCTGACACAAATTTATAGACCTTTCCGTCAAGCTGAATCCAACTGTAAGCAGTGAATTTTTTAACCTGCTTGTTTTTCATAAGAGACCTAATGAATGCCACATCTTTCCATCTTCCATGATGAGCATACATGTTGGAGAGGATTATATAAGGTTCAGCATAGAGTGGATCCAACTTAAAAAGGTTTTCTGCTGCCATTTCTGCATGTTTGATATCTGCATTCTTCCTGCAAACTGATAAAAAGGTTGACCAAATCATGTGATTTGGTTTGTGTGGCATCCCTCTTATAAGATCTGTTGCTTTGTCTATGTTACCAGAACGGCCAAGAAGAGTAATCATGCATACATAATGATCCAAACTCGGTGTCATCCCATGTATCTCTTTGATTGATTGAAAATATCGTTCTCCCTGATCTGTAAGACCTGCATGAATGCAAGCAGACAACACACCAACAAAGGTAATATTTTCTGGTATTATGTCCAACCGGAGCATTTCTTCATAAAGGGCCAACGCTTCAAGATCTTTGCCATTTTGGGCATAGCCTACGAGCATGGAATTCCAAGAGACCACACTTTTGACTGGCATCCCATAAAAAACAACCCAAGCATGTGTAATTTCTCCACATTTAGAATACATATCAACAAGGGCACTAGAAACAAGCAAATCATATTCAACTCCCATGTGCACAGTCCTTCCGTGCATTACCTGACCTTCAACCATAGAAGCCAATTTGGCACACGAACTAATCACAGTTGACATGGTAAACTTATCAGGCCTCACATTTTCTAATAGCATCTCCCTGAACAACATCAATGCATTCTCTTCTAGCCCAATTTGCCCATACCCCACAATCATAGCTGTCCAACAAACCTTATCCTTCTCTTTAATCTGCCTGAAAGCTCTACGTGCCTCATCTACACACCCAATCTTAAAAAAGGCACCAATGACATTCGAAATCGTAACTTGATCCATTTTCAAACCCAAAACTTTCATCTCATCAAACATCTTAATGCATTTCATGGGTTGTCCGTTTCCCAAATACCCTGAAATCATCAAATTCCATGAAACCAAATTCTTATGAACAATCTTATCAAACAACCATTCTGCCATGTCAATCTTACCACACTTTGCATAAATATCACACAAGGCATTCAAAACAAATACATTGCCCTTATTCCATAATCCAGAAACAAAAATCTTGCAGAGAATTTGTTTACCACTTTCTAAATACATCAATTTGGTACAAACTTTCAAAAGACTAACATAAGTGTACTCTGTTGGAACAACTCTTTCTCTCTGCATTTTCACGAAGAATTCCAAAGCATTCTTTTCGCACCCATTAGACCCCAATCCCGCAATCACAATATTATACGAAACTGAATCGCGAAAAGGCATTGAGCCAAAAAACTCGTTCAAATCTTCAACAGAATCCACTTTAGAATAACCCGAAAGCATCACATTGTATGAAAAGATATCCCTTTTGGACATTTTATCAAACAGATTACGGGCGTCTGAAAGCCAACCCGACTGGACATAGAGCTGTAAGAGGCGGTTGTAAAAGAATGCTGTAGTGGTTGAATGCATTTGGTGTTCCATGTGGGCTTGGAGTCTCTTCGCTTGGTGGGCATCTCGGTTGCGGATGCAATCAAGGAGGAGGCGCGTGTAGGACTCAGTGGTGGCTGTGGTAGCTTCCTTGTATAGCAAGTCTATAGCTTCGCGGAGACTGGGTTTCATTTTCATATTTCTGATTTGTTTAATATTTTCCGGCGGGCCACTCCCGAGCACACACACCGCCTATACATACATTATACATATATGTTTATTCGTATCCATTAATTCGATTTTCCTTTGAAAAAATTCTGTAGTTATTATTGTTTCGCTCAATTCCTGGAATCTGAAGTGCTCTCCGAAACGGAGGAAATGGTGGCAGATACAATTTTCCAAAATGGCGTTTATTACTGTTTAAAAAAATTCAAAAATTCGTAAAAACCTTAAATACATTGAATACCCAAAATTGCCCCTAACATTTCACTCTCAAACTGACGTATGGAGAAAAAGGGGGAGAAATAGGAAGGAAACCGATGACTTTTTCTTAAGAGGAGACCGATCGGCTACCATTAGAAGCGAAGAAAGTAGGTTTTGCTTATTTTTCTCCCATTAATCTTTGAACCTAAATGTTAAAGGTTTATTTTGTTGGAAATAGTGGTAAAAATCTTTGTAGAATATGTAAAATTACTAAAAAGTAAGTTTTTTTAGGTTTTGTTTGTCGAGGATCGCCGAAAATGGCGATCTCCGAGTAGAGATTAATATTTTATTTTAATTTTTGTCCATGAGAATTAAAATAATTGAAATGTTGTTAAATTATTATTTAAATAATTATTTAATTATTATTTAAATGATAAAAGAAAAATGTAAATAATGAATAAATGTTAATAATCAAATACGCAATTAAAATTTAATTACAGATTAATTGAAAGAAATTTCTAACATTTGAAATAAATAATTAAATATTTACGTTTACTTGTTCAATAAATAATTTAAATAATCGATCTATATAAGTAATTAAATCAAATAATTTAAATGAACAATTGAAACAAATAAATGAAAAATCATTGGAATAAATAATTAATTGAAACTCACAAAAATAAATAATGAACATTTAAATAATAATTAAATGACTATTGAATGATCAATAAATAAATGTTATTAATTAAAATTTAATTGATACAAATTTCTAACATTTGAATTAAATAATTAAATGTATATGTTTGCTTGTTCAATAAATAATTTAAATAATCTATCCACATAAGTAATTAAATCAAATAATTTTAATGAACAATTGAAACAAATAATAAAAACAACTGGAATAAATAATTAATTGAAATGCAAAAAAAAAATAATAAACATTTAAATAATAATTACATGATTATTTAAATGATAGAATAAATGTTAATATTGAAAATATTAATTAAAGTTTAATTGAAACAAATTTCTAACATTTGAAATGAATAATTAAATATTTACGTTTGCTTGTTCAATAAATAATTTAAATAATTGATTCATATAAGTATTTAAATCAAATAATTTAAATAAACAATTGAAACAAATAAATGAAAAACAATTGGAATAAATAATTAATTGAAATGCACAAAAATAAATAATGAACATTTAAATAATAATTAAATGATTATTTAAATGATAAATGAATAAATGTTAATAATCAAAATATTAATTAATGTTTAATTGAAATAAATTTCTAACATTTGAAATAAATAATGTCGATCAATATAAGTAATTAAATAAAATAATTTAAATGAACAATTGAAACAATTAAATGAAAAATAATTGGATAAAAATAATAAAAGTAAGTAATTAAAATGTAGATAAACAATTGAAATAAATATCTAACATTTAAAATAAATAATAAAATATTCAATTAATAATTAAAATAAATATTGAATAAACAACTAAAGAAAAATATAATAAATAATTACATATTTACGTTTAAATGTTCAATAAATAATTTAAAGAAAATAATTAAATATAAAATTATAATAAATAATAAAAATTAAGCATTCAATAAACAATTAAAATAAATGTTAAATAAACAAATAAACAATCAAAATGAATAATTTAGATAAACAATTGAAATAAATAATGAACATTTAAATAAAAATAAACAATTTAAATAAGTAAGAAATATAAATTTTCAAAATAATTTATTTAAATATGTAATTAAATATAAATAATCAAATTTAATTAAATAAAGAATTGAAATAAATTTCTAACATGGATTAAAATAAACTATGAAATAAATAATTTTATAAAAATTAGTTTTTCCCTTTTTTATAAGTTGTTGTATAATTTTTAATTCATTTTCTTTATTATCTGTTATTTCGTGCGTATATTACTTACAGTTCGGTTAGTTGAATTTTGTGACATTATGTTTCAAATGTTAAACATTTGAAATTTTGTAGGATGGATTACCATTTGGACGTAGCCTTGAGACAGGTTCCTGATAAAGTTTCGTCGAACTGTAACTTTACCAGCTTCACAGCAGTGTTAGATTCACTGGATGAGGAGCACGCAGAGATATTACGTCGATCATGCATATGGCCCCCTGTATTCATTGCGATCTGTACAGTTCTCTAGACAGTTGATCGATTCATTACTGTGTCGGCTGCTTAAGCCAGTTGACAGAGATGCCCACCACTTTGATCTTGGAGGCAAGGTTGCTACATTTTCTTTACTCAAGTTTTCCCTCATCACTGGATTGAGATGTACGGGCGAAGAGGTAGCGAGGGCCAGTATTTCGACAGACAAGAGGCTGCTGAATGATTATTTTAATGGGCACACGACAGTGATACTGGCGCAATTAGGAGATGCATTCAGGTGATGCGATCAGATGTCCGACAAGTTGAAGTTGGGGATGGTATTTATACTGGAGAGCGTACTGAGGTGTCATCACAGGAAGACGTCGATTGACATTTTTCATTTGCAAGTTGTTGATGACATCAATACGTTCAACAGCTATCGTGGGGGGAGGGATGCTTTTTCGATACTTTACACGTCTTCAGGAGGGGGCATTCGATGCCTAGGGGAGATATATCGGAGCGTAACTACGATGTATATGGCCTGCCGTTAGCTTTGCAGGTAAATGTTTAACATAATAAGTTATCCATTTTTTTATTAAATTGTACATATAATAATCGCAATTGTTGCAGATATGGGTCTACGAGACTGTTCCCATCCTGGCTGGTCGGTATACGAGGAGAGGGGATACATGCATCCCTCGGATGCACCGCTGGTGAGCACAAAACAAACCCCTTGCAAAACAGTTATCAGTTATCCTAGACGATCCTGAGGTACGTATTATATATGTGCGCTTTCTGTTGTATGTCATTTTCGAAACTGGATACGTGGTCAGTAATTTGATGAAATGTCAATATGTCAGCTTGAAATCCTCACTGAGCTGACACCATCGATCGAGAAGGAGGATCAGACTTATATCCGTGAGTTGTTGACAGATCGTGCTGCTCGAGATAGGACTGAGTCCATCGTCGTTCCTGACACGGCATGTTAATTGAATATAATATATTGATTATCGTTATAATTTTTTAATTAAGTTATTGATTTGTAATGTTTCTTTTTTTAGGAGCGCCGTCGACTATCACCTCCGCCGAGGGTGTCACATTCCCCGAGGATGTCTCCTCCGCCAAGGGTGTCACATTCCCCGAGGATGTCGCCTCCATCGAGGGTGTCCCCTCCCTACATGCGATCACCTCCATCGAGAGTGTCACCTCCCTGCATGAGATCATCGTCTCCTGCGTCCGGACACCTCCCACGTGGATTAGGTGCACGTAGTCTGAGTGCTTCCATCGATGATATGTTCCTACTTATGATGGAGATCAGAGCCGACGTAGCTGGCTTAATAGGTAAAGTAGCTGACTTACGACGTGATGTCGGGATGGTACAGGTCGATTTAGGAGACCTTTATGCTGAGGTCGTAGCGATACGGGGCGACATAGTAGGCCTGCGTGGGACTGATGAGTATCGGGATGGAGGGGGTGGCGGAGGGACAGGTGGCTATCAAGACGAAGAGAGAGGCGGCTATCGGGACGGAGAGGGTGACGGAGGGATCGATGGTTATCAGGGTCGAGGAGGTCAGACCGGGTATGTTGACTCATTGTGGGCATCGGATGATGCATTAGCTTCATATCTCGGTGGCCCGATAGATATGGAGATGGAGATGGAGATGGAAGATCAGGCCCCAATGGAGACAGAGGAGGAGGTCGGGAGGGTACCGGTTAGGAGGGTGTCGAAGGAGGAGGGGATACCGGAGGCTGAGGTCGGGAGGGTGCCGGAGGAGGGGGGTACCCGAAGCGACGATCGGGAGGTTGTCGGAGTCGGAGGTCGTCAGGGTGTCGGAGGAGGAGGTGGTGCTAGAGGCGAAGGTCGGGAGGGTGCTGGAGGAGGAGGTCGTCAGGGTGTCGGAGGAGAAGGGGGTACCCGAGGCGGAGGTCGAGAAGGTGCCGGAGGAGGAGAGGGTACCCGAGGCGGAGGTCGTCGGGTTGTCGGAGGAGGGGGTACCCAAGGTGGAGGTCGAGAGGGTGCCGGAAGAGAAGGTCGTGAGAGTGCCGGAGGAGGAGGGGGTATCCGAGGCAGAGAGGGTACCATATCAGACGCCAAACTCGCGCGGACGTATTTTTTGTGTTGGAGGAGACGAAAGAGGTGGTCCCGATGGTAGGTGAGAGAGTGTCGGATATTAGGAGGGTTTTGCGTACTATTGATGTGTCGGAGCTGGCGGTCGGCAAGAGGCCGAGGACACCATCACAGTACGTCGTTTCTCCGTTTACCGTGGAGGCGAAAAGGAGGAGGTTCGTCGATGGTACGCACTCGAATTTATTGAGGGAGGTGGACCACGCAAAGTGGAAAGCGTTCGAGGCAGAGTGGAGAACACTTATGCCCGGGCAAGTATTGTATTATTCGTTAAAGATTAATACATTACGCAGATGCTGACATGTCTAAATTTTTACTTAACAATTTCTTTTCTTATTTTTCAGAGTCAGTCGCAGGATTGCTCACAAGACGATCTCGGACGCTTACAAGTGGTTTCACGACATAACAACTTCGGGGACTTGGCTCGCCGATGATATAAGTGAAGTAGTAATATTGTTATTTATTACATATACATATTTTTGAGTTTTGCATTTATAAAATTAAATAACTCCTTTTTTAATTGGTGCTTCCTGGTGCAGCACATTGACTTCGCATGGATTTGCTACGAGATCGAGCTGTACGACATCCAAGAACATTCCTGGCCGACTCATACTGAATACTGAGTTCATATGTGCCGTTGATATTGAATACCAGACGTTCCAAGCTATGGGTAGCGAGTACACGGT